CGTTTTGCTAATCATACGGCACTGCTACTGCGGTGTTTCCAGGTCCCCTCTTCTCAGCAATTAAGTACCAGAAGACCGAGGCCGTAGAGTGCCTCCTCAAGGCCGGCACTCGCACTGTTGATGTGAACCTCCAAGACAAGGCCGGTATGACGGCTTTACATCATGCTAGCAAAGAGTCCTATCGGTACCTTCTTCTTGTGTTGGGCAGTATGCGTGGTTGGTATGCAGCTGTGGTGCCACCGCATGCCTCGCGTACTGACTCATCCACTTCGCGATGTGCGCAAGCAGAGAAGGCACAGAACAACTGTTGTGCTGTGAGCGAATCGACGTCAACGTAGCCGACAGCCGGGGCAAAACGCCGCAAGACTATGTTGTCGATGACACCATACGAGATCTCTTCGTCGAGCGCATTACCACAGGTACGCAGCTTTTGGCTTACCCCAATGTGTGATGTGCCCACAAATTCGGCCAGGTCTCATAATCACACAACGTTCGCAGAAGGGACGCCCTCGCGAAAGAGAAAGGCTGTGGAGGGTGAAGAGGGAGCCTCTCCGCCGGGCTCACCGTCATCGTCGTCATCATCAGCGGCTATAACGGCCTCCTCACCATCGTCCTCCATCACAGTTCTGCCGCAACAGTCAACGCCACGCCGCCCGCTACCAACTTCTTCCTCCTCTCCCGTGCTCCCCGCCAAGTCGCCACCGAAGAAGGCACGCGCGTCGCCTCACTCGACCATAGGCCGCACCACTGTAGATACCGATGCCTATGACCTTTCGACTGTGGCCTACGAGCCAGCACGACGTAAATCAGGTTCGCGCCTACCCGTTTTCGTATACATTTATTTGCTCTCTGCGCGTGCGTGCGTGCGTGCGCTCACACGTTGTGATGTCAATCATTCAAGCCGGTGAGAGACCAACTGGAGCGGGGGAACAAGAGCGGGATTGTGATACTATCAGTTACGACCTGGCGCTGAGCTTTGATGGAGCTGATGGTACTCCAGTCGGAGAGCGACGAGCGCACAGCCAGGTGAGCACCTCTCTCTCATGTCCCGTTGCTGCGTAGCTTCTAAGCCCCCTTCCTTAACTCGTGATTGCAGGAGAAGGGGAATGGCATGCACATAGATGAAGATGACAAGGACGAGGACGGCCAGGCCAGACGGCCCGGTTTACCCGCGTGGAAACCAGCGTTCGGTCCATATCAGGCGAGTCAGGTATCAGCTTATTTATTTTGTCGGGCACACTGGCTAGTGGGCCGTGTTTGTGGAGTGGTGACGTACTCA